CTGGAGACCAACTAGTTAAGTCTGCGAGCTGTTTGAGTCAAGGAATCTCATCTTCATTGTCTCTGCCTTTGTATCCCCAGTACTTAGGCAGAGTGCTTGGCACATAGGTTCTCAATAAGTACTGTGAGAGAATGAATGCCTATAGATGAGAGATGAGAAGGTCTAGGTAGAAACGGATAGATTCTGGAAAAGTTTCCAAGGTATATTCAACAGACCTTGGGTGGAAAATGGAAGAGATTTTCTCTCCCTGTGTGTTGCACTTTTCAACAACTCCATACTGCCAGCAAGTCTAAATATGAGTAGCCATTAATTTATCAATGTGATTTTCCTCAATATTTATTTGTCTGGAACACCACAGGTTAGAAATCAGCAAGCTGTAATTATTATAATAATAGCTTGAAACCCTCTATCGCTCCAGTTCTCCTCTCTTCTGAGTTCTCAACCCCAGAACTGTTCCAATCCTGGCACTTCTGGTGGTGGGGGACGTTTCAGCAGCAAGGACAATTTGCAACTGGGCAGCATGTAGAGGCTGTCCAGAAGTTGAGTATAAATTGGATATTACTTATTTGTTTTTCCATTTAACAAATGGAGACATAAGCCCTTGGGAGACTTGTCAAAACACATGCAACAGGCCAGTGTAAGCCCAGGTTTCCCCGATACTGTGCTGGTACTTAACTACAGTTGATTTCTTGACTGATCAACCAAATCCATGTACTTTCTTCATTTTTTCTGATTCCTTATTGCAGAGTGATTATATGTTAATTTTAATATTGCTTAATGCTGCCTGAGCCTGCTCTTAGGTTCCTGTTGAATATGTTCACTTAGCTGTGACCCTGTTCTTGTGTTGTGCAAATCCTTACCAGTTTATATCACTTGTTTATCTTCTTTGCTTTCAAAATTGTTCAGATTATTGACTCTCAGTGTTTCATTTTATTTTCACTTTCAAAATAATATCTTTTATATTTTCTTCTTGGTTGCCATGACCAGTGTGTATTGAACAATTGATTTATCTTTTTTTTTTTTTTTTTTTTTTTTTTTTTTTTTTTAAGAGAGACAGGGTCTTTCTTTTTTAAGTGGCGTCAGCCTAGCTCACAGCAACCTCAAACTCCTGGGCTCGAGTGATCCTTCTGCCTCAGCCTCCCAGGTAGCTGGGACTACAGACATGCGCCACCATGCCCGGCTAATTTTTTATATATATATCAGTTGGCCAATTAATTTCTTTCTATTTATAGTAGAGACGGGGTCTCGCTCAGGCTGGTTTTGAACTCCTGACCTTGAGCAATCCGCCCGCCTCGGCCTCCCAAGATCTAGGATTACAGGCGTGAGCCACAGCGCCCGGCCTGATTTATCTTTTTTATTGTTACATAATGTATATACTTTTGGGGTACATGTGATATTTTGATACATTCATATAATGTGTAATGATCAAATCAGAATAGTAGGAATATCCCTCACCTTAAACATGTATCTTTTCTGTATGCCAGGAACATTTGAATTATTCTCTTCTAGCAAGATGAGGAAACTGAGGCTTAGGAAGTTTAAGTATCTCTTTTGAAATATACAATAGATCTACTATGGTCACCTTATTGATTTATTGAACACTAGGTCTTACTCCTTGTATCTTACTGTGTTTTTGTACCCATTAATCAACTTCATTCCACCAACTACCCTCCCTCTGGTAACCACCAGTCTACTCTCTATCTTCATGAGATCCACTTTTTTAACTCTCGCAGTCATTTGCAGCAACATGGATGGAACTAGAAGTCATTGTAAGTGAGACAATTGGTTTATCTTTGCAAGTATACCAGATTTATGTAGGCTGGCCCTGTAGCAGAAATACTAGGTACTGTGAAATCCAAGCACCCACCACTCATGTTGACAGCTTTGGGCCTTCTTCCTTTGTGTGTGTAGCAGAGGCATGTGTGTTCACAAGGGCAGGATGGGGGTGTGTGGCAGAGAAGGGAAACAGGTGGGAGTTTAGATACTGCATTTCCATAAGTATTTTGAGAGAGATAAAGGAAGCTGCCTAAAATTTCATGTTTTCTAGAAGACTTTGAAATTGGGTCTAGGGTAAGTTTCTTCTTCCTGATATTCAGTTAGTTTTGGTTCTTATGTTTGAGGACCAGAATTCATATTCTTTTCTAAAAAGAAGTAGTATGTGGTGTTGCGTAAAGTATTGGGTTATACATATGAATGAGGTAATGACGATGAATGGGAAATGGGTTCTGGAAGCTTCATTCTATACCATGTTCTTATATGTAGCTTTCATTTATTATTGTTTCTCTCTATGTTCTAGGCACCGTGAGGTGGCTATTGTACACATTTTATAGATTGAGGAAACTGAGCTTTAGTAAATTTAAGTATCTCCCTTAAGGTCACACAGGTAATCATTGATGGAGCTGCATTTAAACCTAAGTCTTTTCTAGCTGCAAAGATTGTATTTTTAACAATTATACCATTTCCCCACATTTTCAGCCATATAAGTAACTTTTGTCTCTTGTATTTTCTCTTCAATTTCAGAATCTTTTATGGAATATAATAATAATAATAATCTAGTGGCTCAAAACTAAAAGAGACTGAGTGTCTGGGATAGAACTATCACTGTTTCACTGGGGAAAGTTTGTAGAAGAAATGTCAGGTGTTGGGGGGGCAGTGTGGACTGTTGGGAGAGTATAGAAGAGGCTATCCTCTGGTTTTTCATGAAAATATAGTTGCCTGTATTTCTATATAAGAGCCTTGTCACTGGCTCCAGAGTTACTCCAAGTTTTAGTCTTGCATTTTTCAGAAGGCAGAAAGACTTTTTAAGTACTCTGGAGTGGGAGCTGGAGAGATTCCATAGTTGTTGACAATGGGGTGATTGGGAACTGCCTTCTTTGGCCTTAGGGTCAGGGAACAAACAGCATAACATTCCACAGTTAACTTATTTATTAAAAATAATATCTTTTAACTGCCTTCCTAAGAGAAGATGCCATAGCTAACTTTTGAGGAATGTTTTGGGCTTCTGACTTTATTAGCAAACATACGCATCTTAACTATCTTACGAGTTGTAGATTCTAGAATCTAGAACAAAGGAAAAATGCTAAAAATACATGAAATATTAACTTTTGGTCCCGTTTTAAATCTTATATAACTTAGATCTTATCAGAGTTCTTTTATGGAAACTGTAACCTAAAATAGATGTACAGCATTCTAAGAAACCTCATTCACATCTGTTTAGGTTTTTCATTTTGTGTTTTTGTAATACCCTACCATCCAGAACAAGTGTGTGAATCATTTGTGTGTTTATTAGCTATATGGCAGACCAACTATGTAAATCCATCTAGGAATCTGAAGGGACTCGAGGTCTCTTTAGAAGATAAATCTGAGCCTGTGATGGTAACAGTAGGAAGGCATGGGGATAAAATTTCAGGCAGGGAACACCACCTGGTGGTGAGAAGGAGGATTTGCTCCTTCTAAAGTTATATTTGCCATAGTAAGTGGTATCTTTGTCAAAAAATTACATTCTTATTTATAATGATCATGGATTCTGATTTCTAAGAATAATTTTCTGCCAAATTATTCTAGCATTCTTTCATTAAAACTGCTGTCAATTCCTTGTTTCATTATTATTTTTAAAAAACCCTGCTGTCAAAACCTGCAAGCTAAACAAATAATTGTGTCCTACAGAACTGAAGTTTTGTGTTCCTTGTTCCAAACACAGGCCTCATTTTTCTCTGTAGAAAATCAAGTAACATGGCTGGGCACAATGGCTCATACCTGTAATCCTAGCACTTTGGGAGCCCAAGGCAGGGGGATAGCTTAAGCCCAGGAATTCGAGACCAGCCTGGGCAACACAGAGAGAACCTGTCTCTATTTTTTTTTTTTTAATTTTTTAAAAAAAGTCAGTTAGTGTCTTTTCACTTCTTTATTGCATTTTCAAACTTTGATATTATGCTCATTTTATGTGGTAAATTTCTGCCTAGTGCAGTGATGGAGAAGGAAATATTTCTGATTTTTCAGTAAGTCTTTGGCAAGCATCATATAAAAGGAAGTCACTTCTTTCCTCCTTCAAATTATAAAAATTATGAAGAAGAGTAATAATTTTCCACAGTGATTATTAGGGTAAGCAAAGTAACATTTTTTTATTAAAATTCATATCTGATATTTCTTTTTTGTTGCAATAAGCATCTTTATTATTTGGCAATCTTGAAACTAGGTAATTCTGTAGTTGGGTAAAGTAGGGACATCAGCAGCCCAAGGAGAAAGGATCCTATTAAGTTAATGTGGATGTATATTTTATAGGCCCGGAGGGGAGAGGAGGATAAACAAAGTTTTAAATTTCAGGTTGAGCCTTGGGCCAGCATGCCATGTCTGTATCTTTTTTCCTGGTAGGAAAACTGAATCCAGGCCCTACCACCATCGCAAAGTCTCTTGGGAGAGGACTGTTCATGTAAGGTGCTAGGCTAAACAGAACGTGAAATGGCTTTGCACTGCTCTCCTAGGATTTTTCTTAACATAAGTAACAGAATATTATAACATCTCGGTTTCAACATTCATATTATTAGACACTGTAAAAAAAACTGCACCATGCACAAATGCTTACATATTATATAATTCTGTTTATTTGAAATGTCTAGAATTGGCAGATCCATAGAGAGGAAAAGTAGATTTGTGTGGTTGCCAGGAGCTGGGAGGGAGGGGTTGGGAGGAAATGGGTAGTGCTTGCTAATGGGTTTGTGATTTCTTTTGGAGTGATGAAAATGTTTTGAAATTAGTGGTGGTCATTTCACACTATGTGAATATACTAAAAACCACTGTACTGTATGTTTAAAAAAATTTAAACTAAAAAAAACCCTGATCCATGGAAGAATGAATAAAGTCAATAAAAATAAAAAGGTGGTGGTTGTAAAAATTCTTTCACTTATGTTCTAGCAGAAATGTTGTCTGATAATCTAAATATTGCAGCTTAGGCCTCGAATGTCATAGTTTGTACTTTATTACCCTGTTCCTGACCTTTACAGGGCCACGATGGGCCTCCTGGAACATTGGTGTGTTCATCTGCATTCGATGTGCTGGAATCCACAGGAATCTTGGGGTGCACATATCCAGGGTAAAGTCAGTTAACCTTGACCAGTGGACTCAAGAACAGATTCAGGTACTTACATGGCTCCAGAGTGAGTCGGCTGCTCCCATGTACCCATGTAAAAGTAGTTCCAGATGATTTTCTTTCAAACTGGACACAAAGATGAAGATAAAGGAAAATTTAGTTGTTGAACACTTATGTTAAATTCCCACATCTTAATAAAGGAATGTTTCATCTTTCTATTTAAGATACAAGTTAATCTACCTATATTTTACTTCCTTCAAGACATAAATAGTCTATCGTCTGGGACCCCCTGGGTCCATGAAAGTATTAAGAAAGCTATTGCGGGAGGCTGAGGCAGGAGGATGGCTTAAGCCTAGGAGTTTGAGGTTGCTGTGAGCTAGGCTGACGCCACAGCACTCTAGCCCGGGCAACAGAGTGAGACTCTGTCTCAAACAAACAAACAAACAAAAAAAGAAAAGTATTGGTTTATATTCTAAGACCCTTGGCATTTGCAGATCTAACATTTTAGATGTCATAGACTTATAGAAATAAATCATGAACTTTATTATAGAAATATTTTATTGCTAAAATACCAATATAAATCTTGCTTGCTGTTAGCTTGGTAAGCTTGAAGTGAGATACTTAAGCGTCTGGCTGGCCTACGGTCTGCACCTTGATGTAGCTTCATTGTTCTTTATTCTCTTCCTACCTTGAAACACTTTAATTTTAAGGTTTTTTTCTTTTGGGGGGATAAAAGGGAGCACCCCAAAAAACAGTTGCTAAAGTTGGTGATGGAAATAAAAGGTTATTCTTAACCAAAAAATGGCTTTAGAAATTACTTTAGACTACATTTATAGATTTGTTAAAGGTCTAAAAAGGCAAGTTACATTTTGCAGTTGTGCTTTACATACCATGGAGATATTTGGGCATTTGAAGATTTAAAAAGCTCTTGGGATTTAGCCCTCACAAGTGTTAATGGATTCATTTAAAGGCCTAGTGGGAAACACACATTTATATTAATCCATTATTTTAATAGATAATTAGAATAGATTAATTAATAATATAAACTTAGAGTTATAACACTAATTATCAAGTAGACATTTTGATTGGTAGCTATGTGTCTTGGACTTTTTTTTTTTTTTTTTTTTTTTTTTGAAACAGAGTCTTACTCTGTTGCCAGGGCTAGAGTGCGGTGGCATCAGCCTACCTCACAGCAACCTCAAACTACTGGGCTCAGGCGATCCTCCTGCCTCAGCCTCCCGAGTAGCTGGGATTACAGGCATGTGCCACCATGCCTGGCTAATTTTTCCTATATATTTTTAGTTGGCCAATTAATTTTTTTCTATTTTTAGTAGAGATAGGGTCTCACTCTTGCTCAGGCTGATTTTGAACTCCTGAGCTTGAGCGATCCTCCCACCTTGGCCTCCCAGAGTGCTAGGATTAGGCGTGAGCCACCATTCCTGGCCGTGTCTTGGCCTTTCAAATGAGATCCTGAATTATTACTGCATTAAGTATATCTTGGCAGATAAATCTTTCAATAAAAGAACCCATAGAGTGTAGGGGGAAGACAGCTGGAGGGAGGAAATGATTGGGAATTCCTAGAGGGTAGAGAAAATCATGGGTTGGAAATCAGAATTCAAAAGTTTAAATCTTGGTTCTGCTAGTCTCTAGGTTGGTTCGGTTCTTCAGTTGTACAATGGTGGGATTGAATGAGAAGTTTTTTAGTTTGTTCCTGATCTAACATTCCATGTTTCTACATTCTCTTTGGTCACAGTGTATGCAAGAAATGGGGAATGGAAAGGCAAACCGACTTTATGAAGCCTACCTTCCTGAGACCTTTCGGCGACCCCAGATAGACCCGTATCTTTTCTGGAGCAACTTAGAAGGCTGAGTGGTATTTTGATATCTGGGGAGAGTCAAACAGGATTGACAGTTGTGATCTAACTGGGTCATCTCTAGGTGGATTAGTCAAAGTCCTTGCTTTCCCTCTGACCTGCAACCAAGACTTGCAAAAAGAACATGTATACTTGCTAATGTCAGAATTGTCGTGTAGTGTCATGGAGAAAGTTCACTCAGGAATTAAGGCTGCAGTGATTTCAGTGTGAATTCTTCCATAAAGTTATATCTCCACTAGTTTATTTTGGATCTCTGAAACTGTTGTTTGATTAAACAAAAAATAGTTTACTGTGCTGTGTTGAACTCTAGCAGTCACCAAAACTACCATTCATTTTTATTGTCTTTTTATGTCCCATGTGAAAAAATTAACTATTGTTGACCATTTTATCAATAACTAGCTTTCTCCATCTGTTCAACAGACTTCCCAAAGGCAGTGCTTCTCAAAATGTGGTTTGTAGATCATGTTAGAGTTTGTTTTTGGGTGGGTACAGGTGAAACCTGTTAAGTGCAGATTTAGGGCTCTGCAGAAGACCTGCTGATTAGATTCTGACAATGGGGCATAAGAGTTTATATTTTTAAGGGGCGCTTAGGTGCCTTTGTTTGAGACCTATTGACTAAAGTGCTTTAAAATTGATAATTGACTGCTTTACCTATATTCTAGAACAGCCACAGGAACCTCTGATGTTAATATGAAGGTTAATCCCATTTGCCTCTGTCATCACTCTGAAGGGTACTCATAGGAAATAATGAGTCCCCACAGTAACCATGGAAGAGGCATTCCAAGGTTTTGGTTAGGGAAACTGCATATGAGCAGACAGGAGCCATGTGGGGAAACCAGGCGAGAGGGAAGGAGAACAGTGCTCCATGGGATACAAATTGACTTTTTATATTCTTACTGTTGGAGTGACTTGTTTCATTCATCCTTAATAAGCTTTTTGCAGAGCTGTTGAGGGATTTATTCGAGATAAATATGAGAAGAAGAAATATATGGACCGAAGTCTGGACATCAATGCCTTTAGGGTTGGTTTTAAATCTTTCAAGTTTTGTTCTTAATAAGTAATTTGCTTATTAATGAAGCCAGGGAAGAATTTGCTTCCAAAATACTCCCAAAACCATCATTTAAAAAATGCAAAAATAGGCCGGGCGCGGTGGCTCATGCCTGTAATCCTAGCTCTCTGGGAGGCCGAGGCGGGCGAATTGCTCGAGGTCAGGAGTTCGAAACCAGCCTGAGCAAGAGTGAGACCCCGTCTCTACTATAAATAGAAAGAAATTAATTGGCCAACTAGTATATATAGAAAAAATTAGCCGGGCATGGTGGCGCATGCCTGTAGTCCCAGCTACTTGGGAGGCTGAGGCAGAAGGATTGCTTGAGCCAGGAGTTTGAGGTTGCTGTGAGCTAGGCTGATGCCACGGCACTCACTCTAGCCTGGGCAACAAAGTGAGACTCTGTCTCAAAAAAAAAAAAAAGCAAAAATAAAAGAAAGCCAGTTTTTAAGTCAAGACCACAAGATATCATCATGGAACAAACTGGGGGGACAGAGCAAACCATCAGTGAATTATTTGCCTTAATCTCTGTTTAGAAGATGTTAGTGATTCCCAGTTCAAAATTATTTCTTGAAATGGACATGTTGAGTATACTAGATCAAATAGAATAATATGTGTATATATGTATGTGTACATGTATATGTATAGTACATATGTATATGTATAGTACATATACATGTACTATAGCTCTATATATATTGCTATATATACACACATACTTTATTTTTTTTTCTGCAAATCAAATCAACAAAAAGTAGGTGTAATTAAATCACCAGAGTTTTCTTCAGTTTGACCAACATATGATTTTGGCATTATTTGCTGATAACCAGTATGGGAGTAGACTTACTGCCAAGGGGACTCTTGTTCCTGAGAAGAGTTTCAGAGGGAGATTGACTACCAGTTACCACATACACATGTCATCCTTGGCATGTTTAGACTCTGAAATAGTGTGTGAAAACTAGTACAACACACAGGAGGAAATATATCATGATTTCTGGAAGAAGAAAATGTGCCTAATGACAACTAAAAGAGAACTATTAAATATGAGCATTTATACCTTTAAACAGCCTTTGAAAGATTCTATAGTAAATTCTCTTAGGAATAATTGACTTTTTCTGTAGCCACGGAAGCACAGAGAGTATGGGATACTCCAGTTCGAGCACAGGTCCTATCTATCTATCATCTATTCTAGTTATTTATTTTAATAGATGATATAATAGTGAAATCACTGAGTTTTCACAGGGCTCTAAGCCCTTCCAAGTACTTAAAAGGTAATTGGAATCATCTTCAGCGTGATGTTTTGAAGCAGTATTAAAGGGGCATTAACTGGTAGACAAATTTCAACACTGGCAATTGCAAGATAATACATGTAGCTGGGTAAAAATAATTCCTTCCCAACTTAGTATGAAGGACTTTTACAGTCATCCAGAAAAAAAACTTGTCAGTTATCATAACTGTTCCAAGAAAGAATTAACCCAGTGTACAGCTATGGCTTAGATGGCATCATCAAAAAGGGTTTAGAACCAAAGCACACACATTTCTTTTTATTTATAGAAAACTATGATCTGTCTGCCTAGCTCTGTTCATTGTGCCTGAAGATATGAAATCAGATGAGGTCAGAAAAGGGTATCTGAGGTTAATTCTGAAGGTAAAGGAGGAGGGGGGGTTGCTGTTTATACACAACTGTTGTATAAACAGCATCTCTCCTCTCAGGTGCTCATAATGATGTTACCAGTGTACTTTACCCATGAAAGCAAGACTGTTTTAATCACTAGAGGTTTTCACTTAGGAAGGAAATACCTCCTGTTTACCAAAAATCTATTTCAAGCATTTTTAATTTAATGTGCTTAAATTTTTAAAAAATATTCTTGTGATGATTTATAATGCCAAGGATTAATATTTGCTAAGTGAAGACATCTAAATATCAAATGAAAAGAAACTGGGCTTGTCAATTAAAGAATTTTTTTAATATACAGATAAAACATTTTTAACTTCAAGAAATAAAGTGTTCAGTGTTAAAGTGCTACACTATGTATAAAAAAGTTATAGCTGCATGTGTTGTGATTATAAAATTATTTTAGAGAAATTTTATGAAAGTGAAAAATCCATGCATATTCTCACTATTTTTAGTGATTATCATCTTGTTATGTTCCCTCTTTTTTTCTGTATAGTTACTTTTTGGAGGCATAATTATAATACAGTTATAAAAAATGTCTCCTGCTTTCATTCCACTTAATGTATTATATGTTTCTAAGTTACTTATATGGTTTTCATAATTTTTATTGGTTGCATCTTTCAGTGAGTAGCTAAATCACAGTTTATTTTTAACATTTGGCCTCTGGCATAAAGGTTGTTATTTAAGTTTTTCTTTAGCATAAATAATGCTGGGACAAACTTATTAGTACATGTAACCTTTTCATATTTTGGATTATTTTCTTAAGATACATTATAAGATATGGTATTATCTAGGTCAAAGGATTTCAATATTTGTCTCTTCATACTTTTGCCAATATACCTTCCAAAAGTTATACCACATTTTATATTGTCATCTCAGCACTGTATAAGAGTACTAGTTTCACTTCATCCCTAACAACATGAGGTATTATTAAGATATTTCTCCCCCTAAAAATGCATTTTAAATTGCATTGTTGGTCACTGGCTGGACCATTTTTTCATATGTATGCTATACTTTCTTTTATGTGCCTGTATTCTTAAGGTTACTTTGTGGTTCTGTTTCACATTTAAATGTTTATTTGATGTTAAAACTTAATTTTTGTTTTTCTGGTCTTTAGACTTGAAATTAAGGGTTATTTTCTAATTTTTTAAAAAGGGAGTTGAGGCCAGGCACTGTGGCTCACACCTGTAATCCTAGCACTCTGGGAGGCCGAGACGGGAAGATCATTTGAGCTCAGGAGTTTGAGACCAGCTTGAGCAAGAGCAAGACCCCGTCTCTACAAAATAGAAAAATCAGCTGGGTGTGGTAGTGCAGCTACTGGGGAAGCTGAGGCAGGAGGATCACTTGAGCCCAGGAGTTTGAGGTTGCAGTGAGCTACAGGAACAACACTGCATTCTAGCTGGGGCAATGGAGCAAGACTTTGTCTTTGATCAACAAATCAATCAATACAATATTGAGGGGACCTATGGTTGAATTTATAAAATCACAAAGGACATAGTTGAGTAAGATAAACGTGAACTATTCAGTAGTGTACCAAGATGAGGGGGAAACGTCTCAAAGCATGAGCAAGTTAAATTTGGGGCAAAAATGATCAGCAAACTGGTAAAATTTCTAGCCTCTATAGATAACCTAGACTGCAAATTTCAAGCATCATGAATGGGTTAGACAGACCAGGAGGGCAGGTGTTTGGAGGAGGAAACAGCATTGAGACTTATGTGGAAGAGGTCAATTTTCATGTCCCACACCAAGATACCCCATCCCCAAGTTTGTCAGACTACTGCCTCAGAATCGATAGGGATTTGGGGTATCCTTTTTGGACATCTGAATTACAATTTATTGAATTATCAGTCACCATGGGGCCTGTATTCTTTGTTAAATTATTATAGAAAGAAAAAGATGACAAGTGGAAAAGAGGGAGTGAACCAGTTCCAGAGAAAAAAATGGAGCCTGTTGTTTTTGAGAAAGTGAAAATGGTAAGTGGGAAAATATTTGCACTTTGTGAATGGCCTCAGGTATGTTTATATGTGTGGAGGGTGGGGGGGTTGATACCATATTGCACCATTGCACCTTGGGCTAAAGGGTTGCACATCTGGATTTGATTGCCTTCTGCCATTTCTGCTTCTCTCCCATTACCTGTTGCTGCCTAATCTGCTCTGTAACACTTCTCTTTGGGGCCAGATGGGAGCTTGGGAAATGCATCTGTCTCATCTAAGCAAGAGGCACATTCCAAGCCAGGAGGCCAAGGCTGTTTGACACCTTCTGAGCAGGTGCTACCTCCATATTAGTCCTTCTCATTAGACCTTGTGTACCCCATTTTCTTATTTCAGTTAAGAACAGTCTGGAAATCAGGCCATACTAATCCATTTTGAATGATCCCTTCTTATATTCTTGCTTTGTCATATTGAAGGAAACACCTTTCCTTTTCCATAGGACATATTGTGGCTATAGTAGTAGACGCTCTAATATATAAAAACTTGAAATCTTGGGAGAATGAACTGTATTACTCCTGCTTAAGGAAGAATCTTTTATCATCATTCTGAATCACATTATCTGTGGACACAGCCACTAGTGATATTGGCAGAGTGAATTAGGTAACCCTAATTACCCAATCTCCCTTTTGGTGTTAAAGTAAAAGGTGTTCTAACCACTGGCAGATTTGTTGGCTCTTGCCCTTCGTACCATCAGATACCTACCTTTATTCTTGACTTTTCTTGATACCAAAAGCTGTTGCTTCTGTTGTATCCCCGATCTGTGTCTGTCTTGGTTTCAGAAAGCTCTGTCTCTTCAGAAAGCCAGACAAGCACAGATGATATCTTGGTTTTTCACTTCAGGTTTGGTTTATGCACTCATACCTCTTGACTTGATTCTTTCACCTGACACTTCCAGAGTTTTGTTTCTTTGGTAACTCTTTTTTAATAACAGCCACCATACCACAAGAATACCTGTGGCTTTACAGTGGAGAGTGGGAAAAGAGTTCAAAAACACTTGCTTATTTCTTTCTATAACATATTTTCACCTTAGCCACAGAAAAAAGAAGATCCACAGCTACCTCGGAAAAGCTCCCCGAAATCCTCAGCACCTGTCATGGATTTGTTGGGCCTTGGTAAGAGTTAGACTTTTCAGCTCCCATGTTCTTACAAATTTTGATGAATTGTCAGTGACCTTGGGAAGATAGGAAGAGATGAGATTCTCCAGTTTGTGTCTTCATTACTAAGATTGTTCTCTCACATTCTTCCTGTTAGGTTTTACATCTGAGCAGTTGCTTTAAGGGAGTGCTTACTGTGACTTTTTTCAGAGTAACAGTCCAGTGTAGTGGTTAAGAGCATGGCCCTTGGAGCCAGAGTCCCAACCGTGCTACTTACTGTTTTTGTGACCTTGGGCAGTTTACTTAACCTCTGAACATTACTTTCCTGATCTATGCAGTGAGGGTAGGAGTCTCTATTTAAAAGGTGCTGTTGGGAGGATTAAATGAAATGATGCCTTTAAAGCTCTTAGCCCATGCCTAGCACATAGTAAGCACTCAATAAATGTTAGCAGTTTTGCTAAACAGCACCTTTGAGCCTCATGCCATTTTCCTCCACTCCCTGCCCCCATCTCTTTCATTTTTCAGGTGCAGCCTATTTCTGTGACGGCTTGTTACCTCATGGTCATTTTTTTCCAAACCTTTGAAATCCTGAACTAGTGATTCTGCCCTTTCAGAAAGAAAGCCATTTTCTACCTTTCACAGCACTGATTTTTATACTTTGTTTCAGTCTACTCCTGCTGATTTAGATTATTGGCTGCTTAGACTTCTCATTTCTGTACCTTTCATTACTTTCTGAAAATGAATCCTACACACCTTGCCCTTCAAATAACCAGAAGGGAGCTGGCCAGCCCCACAGCTGTGATGCTGATGAAGCCTCCAGGCCTGTGTTTCTATAGCCCTGGGCCTGATAGCTGGCCTGCAGGCTTCCCCATGTGGGATGAGGCCTTTTCTGAGAAGCCCCATCTAAGCTAGATGGTTCCAGAAATATAGATTTCCAGGTCCATGATGGAGCTTATGGGCATTCTGCTTCTTATCCAGAATAGAAGGAAGGCATGAGCATTACTCATTACTTAATGAGCATTACTACATTTTAACTTTGATCTTTCTTTCTAGATGCTCCTGTGGCCTGCTCCATTGCAAATAGCAAGACCAGCAATACCCTAGAGAAGGATTTAGATCTTTTGGCCTCTGTTCCATCCCCTTCTTCTTCTGTTTCCAGAAAGGTAAGTCTTCTTCTGGAAAGAGTGATTTGATAACTTAATCATAGAACCAAGTCATGCTTCCTTGGTGCAGTTGGACTTTCATTTTCTTGATTCTTGATTCTTCCCTTAACATTGTCATTTCTGTCATACTCTGAGATTACTCTTCATACCATTGTGTCTCCTGCCCAGAAAGGGTGGACCCCTTGAGTTGGCTTCTGTCTAAGGTGTCTGATATTGTGAAGGCTGATACTTCAGGCCAGCTCCTCAGCCTGAGTTACTGCCAGAGAATTGTAGGTAAAGACTTGACAATTTTAATGGTTACCATTTGTGAAATACCTGCTGTGTCCCAGGCACAGTGCTAGGTGGTTTTTTATATCATTTTGTATGTTTCATTAATAATTTCAAATCTTCACCACAAATCTGTATAGTGGATATTTTTACAGATGAGAAAATATTAGTTCAGAAAAGTTATTTGACTAGCCTATGGCCGCACTGGGATTGAAATTCACTTCTCTCTGCAGTATCATTTGTGGGTTGTTTTGCTTGTTTGTTCCTATCAAATCACATTATTTTGCTAAAGAGGAAAGAATTGTACCAGAGCTTAACTGTCAGGTGTTTTCAGATATTTCTGTGGTAAAAATGTTAACTTGAGCCATGAGTTCTTATTGCAAATGTTAGAAGCAGCATAGAGGTGAGGGAAATTCTTAATGAGACCCCTACGACCCCCCTGAGAACCATTCCAATTCTCCCCCTACCCTCTTTGCCCTAAGGTTGTAGGTTCCATGCCAACTGCAGGGAGTGCCGGCTCTGTTCCTGAAAACCTGAACCTGTTTCCGGAGCCAGGGAGCAAGTCAGAAGAAACAGGCAAGAAACAACTCTCTAAAGACTCCATCCTTTCACTCTATGGATCCCAGACACCTCAGATGCCTACTCAAGGTAGATTTCATGGGCACGGTGGTGATGTGCCAGGTAGAGACATGAGGGCTTACATGTAGGAATTATTTGTTGTGACAGGGGACAGTTCCTTGGCGGCCAGGACCTCATATACCAAAAAAACATGAACATGACATTTCTTAGGAGGCCACAAAGTATCAGCAGATAGATATTAGTGTAACCCAAAGCCATACGTCTGTAGGGCCTGGGGTCACTCCTCTGTGAAGTCTGACTCACTGTCTGGATCTGGACCCTAAAAGAGAAATGGCTGGGTCAGCGGCCCATTAGTCAGCTACAGCAAATCTTGTACAGAGTCTAACTACTTTACTGTGTAAAAGAGCATACTGATTTGAATAGTCCTGAGAAATTCTAGCTAGAAAGGAGTATCTAGTGAGGATTTGGGCTGACTTTGTGTTCTTTCCTCTTTAACACACCTGTATGTATGTTTTCTTGGCAGCAATGTTCATGGCTCCAGCTCAGATGGCATATCCCACAGCCTACCCCAGCTTTCCTGGGGTTACACCTTCTAACAGCATAATGGGGAGCATGATGCCCCCACCAGTAGGCATGGTAGCTCAGCCAGGAGCTTCTGGGATGGTTGCCCCCATGGCCATGCCTGCAGGCTACATGGGTGGCATGCAGGCGTCAATGATGGGTGTGCCGAATGGAATGATGACCAGCCAGCAGGCCGGCTACATGGCAGGCATGGCAGCTATGCCCCAGACTATGTATGGGGTTCAGCCAGCTCAGCAGCTGCAGTGGAACCTTACTCAGGTAAAAGACCCCATTTTACACAGAACGAGAGTTTTGAGCCTTCCTCAAGGTTGTCTCTCTTTGTGCCTCTCCCTTATCCTTTGAATCTTTTCCATGTAGATGAGATAATGCCAGAGACATTCCTAGGTTTGCTTCCCCCCCCCCCTTAGAATGTCTGTCTAATATCAGACTTTCTGAGGAGTTCTCTGGTCCTGTAAAATAAGGGCAACTGCTTAAATATAAATCTCTCCACACATTCTCAAAAACAAAAACAAACCCACAAAAAACCTGTACAGACAAGAAATGCATTCATTCTGACCACATCTAGTAGATAGAATCCCATAAGCTTTAAATGGCATGGCAGTGGGCATATAAACACCCCAATCCAACAGAGTCAGCATCACAGAGGAGACTCTGTAAAAAGAGGAGGAGCAGGGGCCTAGAGGTGACAGCACAGATAAAACCACTCCTCACCCCCAAAAGGAGAAAGACCTACCCTGATCAGAGACATACTGAGGACAGGTCTGAGACCTGATAGGTTAGAACTCCAGTTACTTGAAGGATCAAAAATAAGGGACTTGAAATTTATAGGAGTACAGGTGGAAAAGCATTTCTTCTGGGGGAGATGGGGATGACTTAGAAGGAGGAGATAATCTTTGGAAACCTGGTGGTGAAAAGAAAGAAAGAAATCAGAAGTGGAAACAAGAATCACAAGAGCAGAATATATGCCATCCTCCTCCCTCCAAAATCATTGTTTTGCTAGTAGAAGCTACTACTCTTGAACTAAGAAATTTAGTAAATCTCCCCAAACCCTCACACCTGTCTATTATTGCTGATTTGGAAAAATAAGGCACTACAAAAATAACAGAAAGTGGCAGATGATGTTTATAAAACACTATGAGATCTTGATGAGCAAGATCTTTGTATGGAAAAAAAATTAAAAACACTATGAGAAGGAAATATTAATAGAAAATGAAAAGCAAAATATTACAGATAATGAAAAATTCTCCCCCCCAAAACAATCATGAAGTAGAAGAAAATTGTTATGTCATCTACTAAGCTGAATTAAATGTCCTTAAATAAACATTTACAGATAAGAAAAACTAATCAGAAATTCAAAAACTTAGAACCAAAATGGATAAAAAACTGGGCTCTGTGAACTGAAAGTTTGCTGAAAGGAAAGAAAAAGACAAAATTATCTTAGAAATAAAGACTAAATTACAAGTTATCCAAAGGAGAATAGACTCAGCTGAAAACGTATTTGGCATCAAGTAACAGCATGAAACAGCCAAGATAATGAAAACTAAATGTACAAAGGAGTAAAAAGAATCCAGAGTGAAAGTAATGTAGAAGTTAGGCAAAGAAAACAGCCTCAAATATATTTGGAGATGTCCAAAGGAGTAAAACAGATATAGAACAGAATTAATATATTTAAAACTACAGTACAAGAAAACTTTCTAGAAGTAAAAAACTTAGAAGTAAAAAATAAAATATTGGGGGCATGGGCAATATACATAACCTTAATACTTGTACCCCCATAATATGCTGAAATAAAAAAAATACATATATATATATAATATTGAAGAAGCCCACTGTGTATCTTGGAAAATTACCCAGAACAGTTAACTCTAAAACACATCCCAGTAAACCTTGAGACTTTAAAGAACAAAAAACATTCTCAGGACTCCAGCCTTCTCCATATCTCCTACCCACAAAAATCTGTTACTTAACAACAACAACAAAAAGAATATTCAGGTTGACATCAGACTTCCTAATAGCAAAATATAAAAAGACAACAATAGGAATAGTATTTTCAAGACACTCAAATACATGCAAGACAAGTATTTTATAGCCAGCCAAGCTATCCTTCAGATATTGAGACTAAAAAAAAAATTGTATATGCAAGAACTCAGGGAATATCATACTTACAAGCCTTTCCTGAGGATTTTAACAGAAAATAAACTTCATTCTTCATTCATCTAAGAGATGACTGGGGTCGTTTTTGGCAAAAGGATTGATGGTGTGCATCGAATGTTTAATTGAGAATCTAAGACTAAAACAAAGGTGGATGACAAGGGTGGTAGAATATACATTGTATTCTGACAAACAGAGATACAACTAAAAATGGAGGAGAAGGGAGAAAAAAGGAGGAGAGTAGAATAAGGTAATTGATGGTTGCATAAGAAATAAGTGGAAGTCAAAGATTATATAATAATCTGACAAATCAAATCATGGAAGCTTGAGTAAGGAAAAAGGACATTATTAAAAGTATTAGATAATGGTAATCATTAGAACTAAAATATGAAACTTTATATCAGAAGAATTTTTTAGCACATACTACAAAGTGCAGCAAATATTATAAGCACAGTAAAAATATAATATGATGCAATTGAGACCAAACTTATCAGTCTTATCGTATCAGGCAACTCTTCTATTAATATCAGAAGAAAATGATATTCAAATTGGCTGACAAAGCAGCACCTAGTTTTAAACTAGGTTCAAAGAAATATACCTGAAACTAAGTGATTTAACAAGAAAATGAAGAGGTAGGCAAAGGAATACCAGAGGAGTGGTGTTTGTACACCACACACATGCATGTACGTGCTATCTTATTGGGGCTGTATCAGTGTTATACTTTATAAAAGTATTTTTATGTTTTTCTTTCTCTGTGGTCTGGAATAATTTATGTAGTGTTGGTCTTTGATGATTTTGTAGAATTTCCATGTGAAATTGTGTTGACCCTATTGCTTTCTTTTATACTAATTCTTTAATAATTTTATGTTTCTTTTATAGAAATCAATTTTAGAAAATTGTATTTACCTAGATTATCCATTTCATCAAGGTTTTTAAATTTATCTATCAAAAGTTATGCCAGGCAGTCCTATTATTTCTTTCAAAGAACCAGGATTTTGATTTATTTATTGGTTCTACATTTTTCCGTTTTCTACCTCAGTTTCTGGGTTATCTTTATCATTTCCTCCCATATGCTTTCTTTTGCTTTGTTATTTTTCTAGCATTCATAGTTAGGATTTTGATGCACCTATATTCATTCTTTCATTTTTATTTATGTAAGTAATAAAGTGCTATAAAACTGATGGGAACATGTCAAAGGGACACATGAGCCAACTTTTAGAGGCTCCTACTGGCCAAATATGGGGTGATTTGAACATCAGAAAGAATAATGACAGTAGCGGGTTATAACACTTTGAATGAAAAAAAAAATCCATGAGTGCATTGTGATATTTTTTTAAAGGGTGTGGAATGGAGGGAGGGAAAGAAAGCCTTCTTTACAGAAGAATGACAGCTAATAATTGTAGAAAGAACAACATATTCACTCATTTTCAAAGAATTACTCAGATTACTTATTAATTACAATGATAAAAATATGGCTACCACTTTAGCCAAGTGATCAAACATAAAATTACCAACAACAAGACAGGTTAAATCACGTGTTTTCTGATACCTTGTATTAATAAGGACATAATTTCCCCTACATAGAATTCTTGCCAGAAATATTTAATTTGGATCAAATCATGAGAAAACAAGATAAATCCAAATTTAGGGATATTCTGCAAAATAACTGGTCTGGATTCTTAAAAATGTCAATGTCAGGAAAAAAAGTGGTAGGGGAACTGTTCTAGGTTAGAGGAGAATAAAGAGAGATGAAGAGGAAATGCCATGTATAGTAGAATATTGTATTGATGTTAAATTTCTTGAGTGTGTTAATTGTATTGTGGTTCTATTAAAGTGTTCATTCTTATGAGATGCCTCCTGACTTATTAAGGGGTGAAATGTCATGATACCTGCAACTTTCCATGCTCATCAAAAAAAGGTTTTAAATTTTTGTATAGAGAGGGAGAGAAAATATGGCAAAATGTTAACAGTTGGTGAATTTAAGAAAGAGATATATGGGTTTCACTGTATTATTCTTTCAACTTTCTTGTAAGTTTGAAATTTTCTTAAAAAGTTGGTAGAAGAAAATAATTAGACTTTCTCCTAAAAGAAAAAAGAACTTATGGGCCAGGCGCAATGGCTCATGCCTGTAATCCTAGCTCTCTGGGAGGCCGAGGCGGGCGGATTGCTCGAAGTCAGGAGTTCGAAACCAGCCTGAGCAAGAGCGAGACCTCCGTCTCTACCTATAAATATTGAAAGAAATTAATTGGCCAACTATATATATAATATATAATAGTACAAAAAATTTAGCGGGCATGTGCGAATGCCTGTAGTCCCAGCTACTTGGGGGCTGAGGCAGAGGATTGCTTGAGCCAGGAGTTTGAGGTTGCTGTGAGCTAGACTGACGCCATGGCACTCACTCTAGCCTGGGCAATAAAGTGAGACTCTGTCTCAAAAAACAAACAAACAAAAAAAAAACATGCTAGGCTCAGGAAATTCAAGGCATTTTTCTTTGATAAACTTTCTTCTGTTTACTCCCAGGGGCCAGTCTTTCAGTTTAATTGAAGGAAGAGGCCCTGTGTCTTTCCCCTTCCCCTATTCCCTCCACCTTCCAGTCCTTATCCCTCTGTCTCTCTTCTCCCAGCTCCTTCGTTTATCATACACTGAAGACACATTGGGTTGTTTTGTTTTGGTTTATTTTTTGCCTTTCTTTGTTCATTCTGAACAGTCTAATTTGCTGGGGTTTTTTTCCCCCTCTACAAATGAGTAAGCATGCACAAGCACTTTCCCTGTCGCTGACAGTATTAGCGCTCTGCTGGAGATAAGGCAGGAGTGCCCAGTGGGGGCTTTTCCTTCGGCTCTCAGGGTTGGCCAGGGAGGTTAACAGTAGGCCCCTTCTATTTAGGATGAGGGACTAGAAAGGAAAAAAGAATTCTCATGCTGCTTTTCTGTTGACTAGATCTTTTTTCCCTCCCTGAGCATTAATCTCTGTCAGCATCACACTCCCGCAAAGTCCTTCGTGTACATGGTCTTGAAACAGTCTGACTGTTAAGGTTCAGGGTGTGCCACACATAACAGTTTCCCTTTGTCTCATTCTCCGCGTCCCCGCAGACAGAAGGACTCCTACCCTGCCTTTTGCACTAATTGGCTGATTGTCCACAGCCAGGTCTGAAAGTCTCCTCTCTCCCTTTCAGATGACCCAGCAGATGGCTGGGATGAACTTCTATGGAGCCAACGGCATGATGAACTATGGACAGTCAATGAGCGGCGGAAATGGACAGGCAGCAAATCAGACTCTCAGTCCTCAGATGTGGAAATAAAAACAAAATACCCGTGTGGCTGCCACTCTCCTCAGCCCTTGCTCTCCCTTTTCTTTCTTTTTCTCCACTCCCCCCCACCTCCCAGTCCTCTTTTCCTACCTCTCTCTGTTTGATTAAGAAATTGCTCAATAAGTCATTTGGGATTGGGCATCCTGCCCAGCCCAGCCACTCCCCAATACATGAAGACCTCTCTGTTGCTTTATGTTGTACATGCCCCTTAGCCATCCCAACTTCTCCCCCAGGCACTCAGCCCCTAGTCCTCCCCTGGCACCAGCACCTTAGAAATTGTTGGCAGAAGGCACTTAAACTGTGGGAGAAATGTGCATACCTTTGAGTACCTTCCTTCAAGGTTAAACCTCCAGGAAAGGTCTGTAGGTGTCATGTATTAGGCAAAGAGGGGAAAGTTTGGAGGTCCTCCTATACATGTTAATAAGCTATTTCTAAGTGTTTAAATTTGAAGAGGGAGGCATCATGTTATCCATGATTCGTGGGAATGAAGAAAGTACTGAAATCAAATCCTCCTTGGGCTTTGGTTCAAGTTGACCCTGCTCCTGGGGTGAGGCAAGCCCCCTCCTGTGAGGATGAGCAAAAATATTACTCTCTTTCCCTGAGTTGCTTTCTGGATCTGGGGCTTCAGGAGTTGCTGCTTCAGTCCGCCTTTACTAGCACCAAAGACTTTATGAGGATCGCACTCACAAACACATGTCCCTTTCCCGCCCCCTAACTGCCTTCAGTAGGATCTGACTCCATGGCTGGAGGACCAACCCCTACAGTGGGAACGCAGAGCTTAGCGTGTGTACTGCTCGTGTGCGTTTGTGTGTGTGTGTGTGTGCGTGCGCGCGCGCATGTGTGTATTTTGCCTCCCACTCTCTCCCCATCTGCTCTGGGTGTTTTTGTTTTTTTAGTTTTAGGTTTATAGCAGAGAGGAGTTAATTTATCAACAGCCTACAACTGTTGCCAGTTTTTCTTGTAGTTTAAAAAAATTGCCATCTCACCTATAAGCGCCCTTTCTGCTTTCCCTTCTCCCAGTCTGCCAATCACTCTTTCATGCCTGTGTGTCCCGGGTGCTTTGTATCGCCTTTCCCCAGTGTGTGAGGCACAGGGCCTGGACAGCTTTCCTCTCAGTCATTGTTCACCCCACTTGAAAATTCAAACAAGAAAACTTTGCTTAAAAGATTTCATGTGTGGGAACCACAATTCCTGGTTGCCTTTCTCCTGTGTATGTGTAAATTCCTTAAATAAATATTGCAGGGAAGGATGGTTTGCTTGGCTGTTACTATGTGTCACCCAGGTTTTCTGTTTTCCACTGGCAGTTCCTTCTTGTATTTTAGAAAATTCTCTATACTTCTCATACCCAGGGGACAGGCCCAGCCTCCAGCTTTCAGAAAGGGGGCACTTCTTCAGTGGTGTCTAGAGTTGTGAGCTGAGGGAACTGTGAAATCTGCACCTGCTAGAGTCATAAAACATCAGAACAGGTAGTTCTTCCCATGCTTAGATGGAGAAGATGAAACCTAGAGAAAGGAATCAGTTGGCCAGGGGTCTACTAGACTCTTAAGTGCCTGAACTTCCAGCCCCTTTTCCTTTCCCTGTACCGTGGCAAATAAATAGTTAAATTCCTCCCTGCCAAAACAGCAGTAGCTTTGACTGGTAAAGGTAATTCAGCCCTCTCTGAGCCTTCAGAACAAGAAGCAGGAACTGGGCCTTCTGAGCCAGTGTCAGTAATTGGAATGTGCATCCTGGGGGTGGTGTGAAACACAAAGGCAAACAGTCTTTAGCCCATTTCTCCTCCATTTGACTGCATTTCTGCTCTCAATACAAGAGATTTTGGACCTTTCCTTCCATTTTCCCTTTGAGTACACCTTTGACTACTTACAGATGTAAGTGGGAGGACGGCACAGTGGCTAAGAAAGTGCGCTCTGGGCCGGGTGTGGTGGCTCACATCTGTAATCCTAGCACTCTGGGAGGCTGAGGCGGGCGGATTGCTCAAGGTCAGGAGTTCGAAACCAGCCTGAGCAAGAGTGAGACCCCCGTCTCTACTAAAAATAGAAAGAAATTAATTGGCCAACTAATATATATAGAAAAAATTAGCTGGGCATGGTGGCGCATGTCTGTAGTCCCAGCTACTCGGAGGCTGAGGCAGGAGGATTGCTTGAGCCCAGGAGTTTGAGGTTGCTGTGAGCTAGGCTGATGCCACGGCACTCACTCTAGCCTGGGCAACAAAGCGAGACTCTGTCTCAGAAAAAAAAAAGAAAGTGCGCTCTGCCAGTACTCATATAACCTTACTTTGGGACCTGAGCAAGCTACTAAAGCACCTGTGTCTCAATGTAAAACAGGGCTAATGGTAATACTTGGGATAGTATGAGGCAATTCCTGTGATGTATTTAGCACAGTATTAGGCACTTAGTACTTAGATGTTAGAAAGTACGATGTGCTAGACCTATGTTGGTCATTAATTCATGCAACAAATATTTAATGATGTTTAGATTGTGTCAAACACTGTCTTATGCTCTGAAAATAAAGCAATGAATAAAAACTCCCCAATCTCATGGGATAGTGTGGTAGCAGAGATGGACAGTAAACAAATCTATTTAATTCAGACAGTAATAAGAGGGGAGAATGGGTATGGGAGCTACTTGGATAGAGGGGTCAGGAGGAGGTTGTATTTGATCTGAGACCTGAATAAACAACCAGTCGTGTGGAGATCTGAAAAGGGCAGAACTAGTACAAATGTCTGTGTTGGAAATAGTTTGGCTGAAGTCATCAGTTTGGGAGTCATCAGGGTAGGGATGCTATGTAAAGCCACAGGACCCAATGAAGTCACTTAAGGAGAAAACATAAAGAGAAGAAACAGAGACTTGAATGCCGTCAGTTTTTATAATTTGAGAAGAATGGATAAGAAAAATATAACCATTCCTGCTCTTAAGAAGCTCACAGTCTCTTGGGGCAACAAATTCCCCAATTTAAAGGGGTTATTCCAACATGCTTCAAATAATTCATTGAGGTGACAGGACTCCTTTACGTTATATTTAATATTATAGATTGCCCATTACTTCTGCTTAAAACAACAGTAATCTTTTATTATGTCCCCCTAAGTTTCCATGAGTCAGGAATTAGGGCACAGAACAGATGGTTTGTCTTTGCTTCATAGTGTCGGGCGCCTAGCTGGAAGACTAGAAGGCAAAGGGCTAGAATCATATGAAGGCTTATTCATTGCCACGTTGGCTTTGCTGGGCTGTTGCCAGAACACTTACATATGACCTCACCATGTGGTATGGACATCCTCAAAATATAGTGGCTGAGTTCAAAGGGCAAGAGTCCAAGACAGAAAGAGGCAGAAAGAAGACATATTTGCTCCTTTACAGCCTAGCCTTAGAAGTTACGCAGTGCTATAGTTGCTGCATTCTATTGGTCAAGGCAGTTACAAAGGTCCATTCATGTTCAAGGGGAGAGAAAACAGACCTCACCTTTCAACAGAAGAATGCCAGTGTCACATTATGAGTATGAGAGATAGGATATATATTGGTGTGGCCAGCTTTGGAAAATACAATATACCATAATAAGACAGTCAAAGCCTCCACAGAGTAATTTATGGCATAGATCCAGGAGCTGACATATTCTCCAGATGTCATGGTAAACTCATACTGTTGTTCTATCAAGTGGAAGCAAACTGCTTCTGACGTTTTTATCAGGAGAGAATACCCCCTTCTCAAATTGTCATGTTAATAGGTATATATAAGGTGTTTGGCACTACCCTGATTTGAGTCAATAGGAAATGAATTCTTGGAACAGCAACTGAAATGGGTACCCCCACCCGATGAAGTTAAGGATAATCTATTGTCATTCCCCCAAACCCATCCATCTTCTGTACCAGCTAGACTGACAAGTTAAATGGACATGTGATAGCAATCACTACTGTCACATCTGTGAAGCTTTATGCCTGCAGTTCCCCTAGAGATGTATTATAGTACTGTATTCGTTTATTGCTTTGGTGGGAAAAAGCTCCAGGGGCTTTCTCATCTCCTTTTTTTTTTTTTTTTTTTTGAGACAAGAGTCTCACTCTGTCACCCCGGGTAGAGTGAAGTGGCATCATCATAGCTCACTGCAACCTCAAACTACTGAGCTCAAGTGATCCTCCTGTCTCAGCCTCCCAGAGTGCTAGGATTACAGGTGTGAGCCATCATGCCTGGCCCCCATTCCTTTCTTAATTGGCCTTACTTCACAGGTGAGCAAGCCAATGTGGGGATTCTATCACTTTCGAAGGACATCTTTTCCAACTAGATACTCAGGAACTTAGGGAGCTACTTTAGGAGAGGTTTAAGGTTCCACTGGACCTATAGTGAGGCTGACTGAGGTAAAAAAACTCCATCATTACCTGGACTGCATCTGGTCCCACTCTGACAAGTGGACAGTGATATCAGGGGTACCCAGGAATTAGTAATAGCTAACAGCCAGTGCCCACTTTTTGCACAAGTGTTTGTGCAGTTTCCCCAGTGTACAGTTACACAAATAAAATGGTAATGGGTCTCTATGGGGAAGACCAGGAGTGAGGGGAGAATGCAGTGGCTTAGAGCAGGAGTTCATGAACTGATCATGAGGCATGTGAGAGGCTAAAAGGTGTTCCACAGAAATGCTAAAACAAGCTTGGGAAAGACTGCATGTTGTATCATTTCATGTATATCTACAATATAGTGTCCTACACAGTAATGGTTCTGAAATGTCCTATGGTAAGGACTTTTTTCATAGTTTTCTAGCATTTACCAATGCATTTAACCATGGAATCCATTTTTCTGGAATACCTAATAACCATAGGATACTATTTTAGGGAAGCAACCAGAAAATTTCTTTAGGGGGTAGAGTTGGGAGGTCTCAGTATTGGAAAAGATGTAGGATGGAGCAAGAGGAAGGAGTCACATCTCCCATGTTTCTACATTATGTGAGAGAATTTACAGAAAGAGGAGAAATTAGCTTTTCTCTCTAGGAGGAAAGAAGTAGATAATTAGGAGTTTCGTTTTAGGCATGTTAAATTTGGGTTGCTTGTGATGTATCCAGGTCTGGTAGACCCTCTGGAAATTGGATTTAAGAGGCTGATGCCAAGGAAGAGGTCAGGCTAGCGAAATTAATTTGGGAGTTAGCCCATAGAGGTGGAAATTGATGCAATAGGAGTGGATGGGATCACATAGTGTAGATTTGTAAAATAAGAGCAGTGGGCTAGGATAGGATTTGAGGAGAAATATTCATTTTTAATAGTCGTTAGGGAGGAAAGGCCCAAGAAAGAGAGGAGGTGGAGTAGGGATGAAGAGAAACAATCAGAGAGTTATGCAAAACAAAACAAAACCCCAGGAAAGTACAGTGTCAAGGGACCCTAGGAATTAGAGTATCTAGAAGGAAAGATGATCAGAAATGCCAAATCAGCAGGTAAATCCAGTGAGAGAAGGATTGATGAAAAGACTATTGAATTCAGCATTTGGAAACTTCTGGCTGGGCACAGTGGCTGATGCCTATAATCCCAGCATTGTGGGAAACCAAGGGGGAAGGATCACTTGAGACCAGCCTGAGCAACAGTGAGACCCTGTCTCTATAAAAAAGTGTAAAAATTAGCCAAGGGTGGTGGCACACACCTGTACTCCCTACTGGTCAGGAGGCTGAGGTGGGAAGATAATTTGAGCCCAGGAATTTGAGGTTGCTGTGAGCTATGATGATGCCACTGCACCTGTAGCCTGGGCAACAGAGTGAGAGACCCTGTCTCAAAAAAAAAAAACCAAAAAGTGAAAGCTGACCCCCTACCTCATACCATAACAAAAAATTCATTCTATATAGCTTGTAGATCTAAATATGAAATTCAAAATAATAAAGATCCTAAAAGATAATATGGGAGAATATCTTCATGACTGTGTAAAAGAGAAGAGGAAAAGGTCATGTGAGCATCCAGCGAGATGGCAGCTACCCACATATCCACAAAGCCAAGAGAATGAAACCTACCTTGCCCATACCTTGGTCTTGTATTTCCCAGCCTCCAGAACTCTGAGAAAATTAATTTCTGTTGGTTAAGCCACCCAGTCTACGGTATTTTGTTATGGTAGCCAAGAAGACTAGCACAGTTCCCCAAATGGCTTGTGCTACTATAACAAAATACCATTGACTGGGGAGCTTGAACAATAGAAATTTATTTTCTCACAGTTGTGGAGACTAGAAGTTCCAGAATAAGTTCTGGCAGGTTTAATTTCTGACCAGGACTCTTGCAGACAGAGGTCTTCCCCC